AGACACCATAGTATAAGTGTGTTGATTTCACAAGGCATGGTAGATGTCCTTCGCTTTGGTTCATTTTTTTCTTCTTTTAAATTTTTTTTTTTATTTTTTTACAGAGAGGAACGGAGAGGGATAGAGAGTTAGAAACATCGATGAGAGAGAGACATCAACCAGCTGCCTCCTGCACACCCCTACTGGGGATGTGCCCACAACTCTGTACATGCTTTGATCAGAATCAAACCTGGGACGTTTCAGTCCCCAGGTTGGCGCTCTATCCACTGAGCCAAACCAGCTCCATCTGGTTCATTTCTTCTTAATGTTTTTATTGTGCAAAGGGAAATAATACATGCTGATTATGTCTGCAGGTTTGTTTTGTTCTGTGTGGGGGATGGAAGGGGCGGGTTCTAGCTAGAGATATGACCACACCCATATCCACCTAATGTACCATGGTCAGTGAAGTCCTGGATCTCTGGTAGAAGCCTCCAGGGTCTGTCTTTCCTGAATGTTGGCTGAGGATTGATTGGGAAGGTACATTTATCACTGCCTGTGTGTTTGGAAAGGTAGAGAATATATATAATTATGAGGATCTAAACAAACATTCAAGAGAAGGCATGCTAAAGCAAATTTACAACAGGATTATTTAATAGAGGAAAACATCTCAAATGAGAAGTAACACAGCAGCAGCAACTGGTTCTGGGCTTGAGGGATTTTTAGTCCATTGGAGCCGCGTTGCATTCATTTGTGTAAAACAGTGGCCAAAAGCCCTGCTGGATACCTTAGGCAGAGTTCATCATGTTGACAGCAAATCGGTGATTATTTTTCCCCTGCTTATACCCCAGCCATTACCTCCAACACGGTTTTAGATTTTTGTGTTCAGACTTGGAACATGTTTTGATTATAAAACAAACAAGTTCATCTGAGTGGTCTGATTAATGAAAAACCCGACTCTGTGCTCTGTCTTCATCACAAAGATAAGGATACCAGGCGTGCAGGGGCTTCCCAGGATCGCACAGCTGGTCAGTGGTGCAACTCAGGGCTCTAACCTGGGTGTTCTGGTTCCAGTTCTGAATCTGTGCTTTCCTGCTATCCCCCCTCTCTGCGCCTCCCTTCCTCCTTTGGGTGAAAAGGTTTCTGACTTAGAATATCTAGCTACCTGCTTCAGGCTCCCACTTTGCTTCCTAAGGAGGTGGTTCCTCTTTGGATAGTATTAGCTCTCTCCTTTACTGCCCAGGCTGAGTGTCAAATGTTCAGGCTCGTCTCTTCACTTGATTACTTGAGTCTTGTCTGTCCTTAAAGACCCAGCTCCAATCCCCCTTGACATAGAGTTTGTTATACCCACTGACTCAGGCTCCCTCAGCCCTCCTTTCATAGTCTAGGGCCATGGTCAGCAAACTGAGGCTTGAGAGCCACATGCGGCTCTTTGGCCCCTTGTGTGTGGCTCTTCCACAAAACACCATGGCCTGGGCGAGTCTATTTTGAAGAAGTGGCATTAGAAGAAGTTTAACTTTAAAAAATTTGGCTCTCAAAAGAAATTCCAATTGTTGTACTGCTGATATTTGGCTCTGTTGACTAATGAGTTTGCGGGCCACTGGTCTAGAGCTCTTTAACTTTATACCCGTCTATCCTTTCTTTCACTGATTCTTTTACAAATGTTATGGAATGACTACTCCTTGTCAGGCACTGTTCTAAGTGCTGGTAAAGTGCAGTGAGCAAAACAGAGAATGTCCTATCTTCTAGGTGTTACTGCAGAAGAGACTTACTAAAAAAATAAATCTATCAAATCCAGTACTGATGTGTTGTAAAGAAAGATAAAGCAGGTAATGAATTCACTCTGATGTGGCATGGCTGGCTGCCCTGTTTTGTAGAGTCCTAAAAGACTTCCATCATGATGATAGTTAAGGAGAAACTAGAAATAGGAAGTGGAGTCATGCAGATATTCGGGGGGAAATGTGCCAAACAAGAGAAGAGGTGTGGGAGGTGCTTAGTGTATTTCAGGAAGAGCAAGGGAACCTGTGAGGCTAGAAGGTGGCCGTTCCTTGCTTCCTAATGACAATACTTTCTACTAGGTCTGTCCTGTGGCTACTGGCACACTTTAATTCAACTATTGTGTAGTAATGGGGGTTGTGGAAAATGTTAGAACTGCATCTTGAAAATTAAATTGATGTTTATAAAATATACATTGTAATACATATTTATATACATAAAGTTTGTAATATGTAAAATATACAATGTATATAAATAATGTCTTGCCTGGCCTGCATGCTCAATGGTTGAGCATCGACCTATGAACTAAGAGGTGTTGGTTTGATTCCTGGTCAGGGCACATGCCCGGGTTGCAGGCTCAATCCACAGTATGGGGTGTGCAGGGTTCTCTCTCATCTTTGATGTTTCTATATCTCTCTGAAATCCATAAACATATGTTTTAAAGAAACAACAGTGTCTTGCACATGGTGCTGTAGAAGCTTTAGCTTTTATCCTTGTGCTGATCACGATCACTCTTGACCTCGGTTCTGCCCCGAGGATCCAGCCTCAGAGCAAAGGTCTTTGGCAGCCCCCTCTTCCCAAACCTAAATGGAATTGCATTTGTTATTTCCCCCCACTCTTGGTCAGACATTTGAATAATTGGGATAGGCTCTTATGCAGCTTCTTTGTGGGGGAAAAATGTTTCTACTAAATAGCCAGAAGACAGGTTGGCTTGCTCATGTTCTAAGGTATAGCCTCTGCTTTAGTGTCTGCAATGGAGAAGCACTACACACTCAATTTCTTTTTACAACAAAATCCAACAAGCTTGATGGGTGCTGATGCTGTTGGTGGTGGGGGTAATGATAGCTAACATGTATGGTAAGTTAGGCCTATCAATCCTCTCAGACCTATGAGCTAGGTAGTAATGTTACTCATTTTCCAGTTGAGGAAATGGAGGGTTCACATGGTTTATGTCACATTCCCCAGGGCAGCTGGCAGGAGAGGCGGCCAGGTTGTATAGTAAGTTGTTTGTCTCCCCAACTTGAAAAGGTGACTAGTCCAAGTTCATTTTTGTTGTGCTTTGCATTTCCCTCCATGGTCTGTCATTGGAGGTGTGATTAAGGGAGAGGAAAACAGGCATTTTCTCAGTGAGCCGTGGAAACGAGTTTCTTAGGTTTGCACACACCTGGCTTGGGCCCAGGGAGCCGAGAGTCAACAGGAAGATCAGTGAATGCCTAAGGGGGAGGCAGGCATGGGTTTTGATAGCTACAGTAGGAGATTAGTCAGTGAGATGCCCCGGGGGCCATTTAAATGCATTTGGGGGGTCCATCCCTGAATGCTAAGGACCAGTACCACTCTGCAAATAGATAATCTGTGCTTTTGTTCCCCAAATTACTATTAGTTAACTCGTGAGGGTATTCCCCTATTGCTGAGTTTTGGGAGCCTCAATTTTAGTCTTGTCATCAACAACATGGCCACAGAGTCTGTTTGCAAATATAGACAAATGCTTTGTTAGAGTTATCTTTACTCACTTATGTCCTCTATGTTTGGCAGAGAGATTTATCTTTTCACTAAACTGTCCCCAGCTTGCTGTTTATTGAAACTAGTATTTCTCCTGTACTTTCCCGTTCCCTCTGGCATTTTTGCTGTATTTTTTGATAGGCAACTTGCTGAGTAAATGTCTGAGGGTTGTCAGGCTTCAACTTCAATTATGAAAAAACAGAATGTGTGGGCGCTGTAGTGTTCTTTGAGGTCTGGCTGCAGCTGTGAGCTCAGGCTTGTGCCTTGAATGACTGTGGGCTCCATTGCTCCCCGGCTTCAGATTTTACGAAATAAACTGTAACTCGAAGGGGAAAAACAACTAAACATATTTAATTGCAGGAAATACAAAAGTTAACCAAAGTATTTTATTGATACATTCTTGGACAATATCACAGAATTGAAAGAGAATGGAAAGAAGGAATTTCTCAGCAAGGAATTTCTCCACTAAATTGGCACATAAGCAGCAAGATTAACGAAAGTACTTATTACAAACAGTAGAAAACATACATGCTTTTTTTTAAAAGTCCTTATCACACCAGTCAGTCATAGGGGGGCAAGAACAAAACCTCAAGACGTGAAAAATCCATATTTTTTTTCTTCAAAGAACTTGAGCATTATTAAAATTATTGCAAAATATCCAGATACCCTAAATAAAATAACAGGAGAGAACACAAATACAAATATCGAACATAGTATTAACATGTACTGTAAAATACATTACCGGCATGCATTCCGAACATCAAGACCTCTATTCAGTTCAGCTTATACCTTCCTTTTGTGTGACCTATCAACAGATAGGTGGGACTTACTATATCAGCACAGTTATTGGTCTTTAAGTATCTTTTTGTCTTAAAAAAAATAACATGATTTGCAACCGTACTATACTCATAATTATACAGTCGTGTGTGTGTGTGTGTGTGTGTGTGTGTGTGTGTGTGTGCGCGGTTTAAATATAGATTTTACTCCGCCGAGATCTTTTTTAAAATTTTTTGTTTTAAAATTTCCCCAAATAGCTTGCCGTCTGAGAGAATAGGGCGCTATGAAAACAGGGCATTCGAAAACAAACGGTGAACCGAGGTACAACATCGGATGGCAAAGTGCAAAAGTCCTCACAATCTGTACAGAAAATTTCAAAACCTTGCAACCTGGGTGTACATACGTAGAAAGAGACAGGTCAGCCCCGAGAACAGTCACGGTGGCTCTCGGCAGTTCATCCTAGAGAGCCTGGGTGGGACTTGAGTTTCAACACTCCCTTCCGCAGGGAAGGTCCAAAACTGCAGCCAAGTTGGCAGTGCTGATGCCAGTGACTTATTAAGCCAAGATAAAGTAGGAATATTTCATAAAGCAGCTGTGTCGGACTCTTGGATCCTCTAACATTGATTGGTCTTCCGGCTGAGGATGGTCCTCCGGTGATGGGCAGCGGGCAGGACCAAAAGAGTCCTGTGCCGGGTTGGATGACGAAATAACTGAGGGTCTTCCTCCTCCGTGGTTCCAAGGAATGGAACAGCTTAGATCACCAGGTTGTTATAACTGACATACTTCTTTTTTGCAGCAGGGCCTGAAAGAGAAATGAGCAAAAGTCAGTGGTGCCATGACCCTGTATTTGCCAAGGCAGAAGCAGAATTGTATCTGTGATGACTTGGGTGCAAAATAAGAATGGGGACCATGCACCATTGAGGAACACACACATCACTTGGGACTCTTGTGACTATTTCTTCTCCGTTCTGAGATGTCTGCAGCCTTCCTCTTTGTGCTTTGTAGCCTTAGTAAGGTTATCAGCGGGATCATGCTTCCTAATTAGCCAGTCCCGAGCTTGCCAGTAAAAAGCCCACCCATGTTACACTGGATTTTGTTGCATTTTCTCTCAGACCTTCTCAAAAGTTGGAGAGATCTGTCCTACATGTCTGGAATTTATCTGGGTTGACCAAAGATGAGGTCATGAGGTCAAAGTGCCTTCTCCAGCTCCGATTCAGAGTCAAATTGCTGTAGATTGACTTTTGTAGTGTTATCATAAGTTGTAAATGGTAATTTGCAGACCTACTTTCATCAAGGTTTGAAGCTACTTCAATCTTGCACGTGTCTCAACACAGCCCACACTCCCCCTTAATTGCATAATAAATTTTCTATTTGATACAGTGATTTCACCTTCATTCACTCATCCATTCAATCATTTATTCCGTAGAGACGTGCCAGTTGCCTACCACCTGCCACACAGGAACCTGGGCACTAATGAGCAGCTGATGAGCAAATCAGATGCTTTCCTGCCTTTATGCTGGAAACAGACACCAAGAGCCCAGGTAGGACTCTGCTTTTTATCCTGGTTCACAGTACTAAGTGAAACGGTTGATGTGATGTGATAATGCTCTTTACTCACGAAATCTTAGCAATTTTGCATCCACCGCTGTTGGGCACAAGGTGAGTTCATGTACCATTTTAAAGATTTATTTTACTTACTGTTCTTAGATTCTAAATAGTACTGTTTATTTAACACACGCAAGCAGCAAGAATTCTTCCAGCACTCTTAAGTAGGGCTCTATCTGTAAATTTGGAGGAACAGAGAAGGCACAAGAACACACTAAGAGGGGGTTTGTAATCTAAACTTTGAGTCATGCAGCCAGTGTGTTACAGATGCAATATAGCACATCTACACGCTACAGAAAGAGCGCTTTGATTTTCTGGGTTTAAAATTTGGGCACTCCTGAGAAATGCTGACTTCTGAATACTAATTTCTCTAATAAATCATGTTATATTAATTAGCTAAAGTTAAAGAAAAAAACAGAATTACATGAAACTCTGGGTTCAAAAGGAAATCTGATCATGAGACTGGTCATGATGCATCCTCCCTCATTAAATACATGGCTGCAATTATCCAAAGGTTATTCTGTGTTATCACATTGTCTTCAAAGTTTCCCTGTGTTATCACAGCCTTCATTGTCTTCTACAATCCACTTGGTTTGAATAGAAGGAGAAAAACTTTATAAAGATTTTTTTTGCCCCCTCTGAAGTCTCTTTATAGTGTCATAGCTAGAACACCCTAATGGAAGGAGGCAACAAACAGTCTTGTCATCCTGTCAAATGCCAAGGTGTTAGCTATCCTCAGGACAGAGGTGGGGGGAACACACCATCCCAGAAGCTTATACTGACCTAAATATCAGACCACCTCTCTGTGTGACTAAGCAACTTTGTTTTCTAGATGAGCATAACTGTAGAGCAAAACAGCCAAACACCTGAAATTCCTCAAACAGGTTACTTCAAAATATCCAGGAGGAGCATTTGCCACACAAGTTAGTGAGAAAATGTTGCCCTTGCATTGTAAAGCTAAGCACTGGTTTGTGTTAAACTATAATCTAGATGAAGTTACATGTTACAAAGTTAGAAATGATACTGATAAATTCACCAATGCCTGGCATGGATCATCGTGCGTGCTCCAGGAGTCTTGAGGTAAGTGCTGGTTATAATTCCTAATTCACAGCAGAGGGGTCTGGCTTCACAGACTCAGGTTCTGATTCAGCCATCAGCTACCTGAGGTGGGAACTAGACCAGTTCAAGGACACTGAATGTCTCAGAGCCTTTGAAAAATGAGGAGAATAATTGTCACCCTGTGGGCTAGGAGTTGCATGAATGTATGAAATACCAATTTCTCACCTGGTAACATAGTGCAAAAACATATTTTTAAATTATAAAGTTCCATACAAATGATTACCCTCGGTGCATGCTGCTCTCTCAGAAGAGCTTAGGGACACTGCGGCGAAATAATACTGATGGTGTGCAGGTCCTCGGATGGAGATTGTGTACTTTTCAGATCAATGTCCAATGAATTACATTGTTTCTTTTTAAACCATTATGGCCTTATGAGTAAATAAGTACTTCAGTGGTATCCCATAATGCCATTTTTTTTTTTAATAGCAATGCAGTTCATGGTCTAGAAAAGAAAATTCTTCCCTCAAAACAGTTGTGCAGTAAAACACTTGTGAAATAGACTTTTTTTTAAAAAAAATAGCTGGAATCTTTTTTTTATGAAGTTGTAAGTTTTAAGGAGAAGGTATGATTCCTACTGAATTTTACATTATCTACATCAGTAGTTCTCAAAGCAACATCTCTTGAAGTGATGCTTACAATTAGGCAGGGTATTGAATGACTGACGTGCCTTGGCTACTTCAGAAAGGTCAGACATTCCAACTTATTCTTCGTGTTGGTCAAAATCAAACTCCATTTGACATTAACTTCAGCGAACTGGTTATGTTCTCTTTAACTTTATTTCTGAGCCTTTTGTCTCAAAAAAAAAAATCATTTCTCAAAGCGTGGTCTGTGAAACTTGTATAATCCAGATGATCAGAAATAAAGAAAAAATAGAAAAGGGGAAAGTCTCAGGGATAAGAAACATTGAATTATAAGAAACACTGAAAAAGTAAAGTTAAACAGGCCTTTCCCTCACCACGTATTCAATTTCTTTATTTTTAAACTAGAGGTGCTCTCCAGGCTGGCATTGTAACCGAGAGGTGCACGGTCTGGCCTGTGCCCTCTTGCCGTCTGGGATCCTTAGGGGATGTCTGACGATGGCTACCTGAGCTGTCAGTCAGACATCCTTAGTGATGCGACGGAGGTGGGAGAGGCTCCCACGGCTGCCGCTGTGCTCGCCAGCCATGACCCAGGCTTCTGGCTGAGCCGCACTCCCCCTGTGGGAGGGCACTGTCCACCAGGAGACAGCTCCTGCATTGAGCATTCTTTAACTTTAGCTAATTAATATAACATGATTTATTAGAGAAATTAGTCTTTAAAAGTCAGCATTTCTCAGGAGTGCCCAATGCAGGAGTGGTCAGTGCATGTCATGGCAACCGGTCATTCTGCTGTTTGGTCAATTTGCATATTAGCCTTTTATTATATAGGATCATAAGGCATTCTATAGTTCATTTACATTATTCCATGTGTTCTCTGGAGATCCTAAAAAAATTAAATATATATGTATAGATGTATGCATGTATAAGAATGTATATGAAGTGATTCAAACAGCCACAAAAGGTGAAAACAGTAGTCTATCACAGTCCAGAGTACAACACATGTTGATGTATTGACTACTTCAGGTGCCCTTCTGTCCATCCTGAGGAAATAAAACCTGGTGGGAATGCTTCCCCATTTCCCCACCCCCACTGCCAATCCTTCCCTCCTCCACCCACCAAAGCTATTATTCTGATGTTGGTTTGCATCCTTCCCAAGGTGGTTTCATACTCCTCTTGCATGTGTAGCTGTCCATAAACTATAGATAGTGTCGCTTGTGTGTCTGATAAGAAGCGTTTTTGAAATTTGCATCTGGTATCTCCGTTGCTTACATTTCATTTATTTTTTTCTGAGGATTACTCTTATTTTTTTATTTGAGACATATTTCTTTGTCTCCCCATTTTGTGTGCCTTCTTGTGTTTGTTACTGTTTAGTATCTAGATTTGCTATGACTCTCAAACTTGCTATGGTGGTTTTATGTTGGAGTTTTCTTATGGGGCTCAGTCGTGCAACTTCTTGATCACCTGAGCTGGGGGCTCCCAGAATGTTTCCTGTGCGATTTGTGTGTTCCCTCCTGTTGTAATTCAGCCTTGAGTGCTGTTGGCCTGTTCACAGATGGGTTAACCCTCAGGCTGGCTGACAGTAAGGATAGACCTTGATGACAGTGTATGAGCCCCTTTGCGGCAGCTGTCCCCTGAGTGGGATTGTTTCCAGCAGTGTCTGGTCCCTGCCGGGTTCTTCCTTTGGGTGTGCCACTTGTGTGGTTAGCTGGATCATGCTCTGGTGTGGTCTGAAGCCCACCGCTGGTTGTGTTGGTTCCAGATCCATTTGAATGGGGTTCCAGTGCAGATTGATTTCAGACACTCCCTGTCACCAACCTTGGGCTACCTGTCTAGAGCTATCACACAGTTTGTTATTTGTGGCTGCTTCTACTGGGCCTGGGTGTGCATGGGAGGTGCCAAGCTGTGTATAAGGGTCAGCTTCCTCCAGTTCTGAACCAGGGCAGATCAGTAAAAGCTCCAACGCACCCTGAGGTCCACCTCCTCCTGTTGGCCACACTGCTACTCCCTGAGGTCATCTGGCCTTCCTTGTGAGCCTCCTGCAGAGAGACTGTAGAATGGGCTCAAGCTGGTCGAATCCTTCAGACCCTTCCACAAGGCATGAGCGCAGTAGGGCAGGTGGCTGGGATCAGGGGGATGGGGCTAGTGGGTCTCCTACTTGGAGGACAACATGGTCTGGCACTCAATGGGGTGAAAGTGGCCCCTATTCCAGAGCCATACCACTCAGTCTTTGCTGGAGATTCTGACCCTCACTCCCCTGAAAGGAGCACATTGCAGGTTCAGGTAGAGTGAAACCAACCTCTGCAAGCTCTGTAGGGCAGGGCCTCGGGACTCAGGAGGATAGACCACAATTGTTTCCTGTTGGGGGTGGAATCAGCTGAGCCTACAGGTGGGGCACTGTTTATCCTTCCCCATATGCCTCATTCACACAACCCAGCACTTGTCTCCATCCCACACGGAGCCTCCCAGGGAGATGTGCTCTGCACAGCACTCTGATCTCCCT